AAGGAAGAATAATAATTTCCTGTAATCAAACTCAGCATCAATTTCTGTTTTCCCAGAGAAGCCACCTCCCTTCTAGGGCTATAGACACAAGAGTTGGTTTTGTTTTAAATTAGGAAATGGGTATTTTTTTAGCACCACACCTCCCTTCATCAGTCACCAACACACAAATTAAAAACAGGGAAAGGATGAAACACGTGGGAGAGTTGAAAGCCATTGTTAAAACATTTATAGCACATCACAGGGCCAGAGGGTGCTGAAAACCAATATTCAGATTGTCCCACAGAATTTTAAGTGTATGATCTGTGGTTTACAAACATGTATTAGCATGCATAAGTAAGAAAATACTTAGACAACTAATCAGCTCTTCAATGAACATTAAATATCTGTCAAAGCAAAAGTATGTATAATAGCTTCCAAATATTCAAATATTTGGTTTCAGTGGAGGACAGCAAAGGTATAGCATTGTACCAGGCAGCGTCAGAAATCTGTGCATCTCCCCGGTGTTTTCCATCTGTTCCTCTTCCGAGTTTTGTTCACTGTTACTGTGGTTTTAATCACAGCCAGACAAAGGATAACAACTTGGACTTGCAGCACTTTCAAGTTTTGTTTTCATTCCCATGCAGAATGAGAGTAAAACATTTGAAACATTTTCATAGAAACAGAATCGTGTCGAAATACTTTGTTTTGAATCAAAGCATATACAAACGCTGGCAGGTAAGGCAGCGGTTTGGAACAGGAAGATCCAGTCCATGAGACTGGAACACTGTTTATTTGCATTCCCCCACCCCTAGGTCATCCTGAAAAAGGCAGAGAGGGACTTGAACTCTGACTTGCAACATTTCAATTCAGCGCTGTAATCCTTAGGGTGAACAGCCTCCTTCAGTCTTCTGAAAATAGTAAATGTCTGTGAGATGCTGGTCGAATAAACTTGCTCTAAGTATCTGACTCTAGATTGATTCTTTCAGCTTGTGGGGCAAGAACCTCCCTACAAAAGGAATTTAATTTTAATGGTGAAATTCACTTCTGTCTTATCACTGGTCAAAGAAAGAGGAAAGTTTAACAATGCCAAATAAAAGTTTGAAAATCCTTTCCTGTTCTTTTCTCCCTCCTTTGTGGAAGTCTATTCCGCTGCCAGGCCCATTAGCAACTACTTCCTGAAGGATGATATTAAATGCACATACATGTATATACATGTGTATCATAGCCCTCGGTTTTCTCCCCTTTTTTTTTTTTTTAACTGTATTTTGTTTTGAACCAGTACTGTGGAATACCATCATTAACAAAGCACAATAAAATGAATTGGTTCCCAAAAGCATTCCAAATGCACCAGCCAATAGTGCCACTGTATTTCAAATGTAGCCTGTCTCTAACAGTTTCACGTCATTTACAATTCCTTGGCTATCAAAGCCATGACCTATAGAGATTTTATGAATTTTTTTAACCTTTTTGCTTGTTACTTTTGAACAGTGCCATGAAATGTTTTGGGTTTTTTATACACTAGGCTGCCTGGATTATTACACTATGAGCTGCTCACATTATGGACTGAGAGATATTTTGCTGGGGGGGGTAGGAGGAAAAAACCAAAACAAAACCTCCCCAACTACACAGCTTTGAAATCTGCATTGAGGCCACTTGGCCCTCTACTGTCTGATGGGTAGATTTTGATTACAAACACACTGTGAAGGAATCGTGTTACTTACAGGCTCCAAATCTCTTATGCTCACAGGGAGCTCACGTACGGTAAGCAGGAGATCCAGCCTCTGGCCTAAGTGGGGGATTTTACACATCTGCATAGAGTTGAACAGAAAAGGAATCAAAACCCATGCTTATGCCAAAACACGCACATATCTTTCATAATTTATTGAGTAATTCATCTGCACCATAGTTTTCCTAATTTCTGTGCTCATTTATTAATTTTATCCTAGGCCTTGAGTCTGTGGATATACTATGGCACATACCTGGATAGGCATCATTTGCATATGCAAATTCAAGATGACACTGTATGCTCGTAGGGCCAGACATTATCAAAATCAATGACTCTCATTTCTTGTGAACAAGAATCTTAAATGCATACAGTTCTATGCTTATAGATTTTGGAAATCTAGCTCAGCATAAATCAGCTCCTACTTTGGAGGAAGGGGAGGGCGTGTGACTTGGAGACACAAAGGGATCCATACAGTTCTCTTCATAATATCTACCTGTCTCAACTCTTTATCAGATAAATCCTCTTATACTGATTCTGGCTGAGATTGTAAATTTAAGCTCCAAACAACAGCTTCTTGTAGTGGTTTTATCTAGAAGAGAGTGTCCTAGAAATAGCATGTGGTGTCTTTTAACGCTGTACCTTCTTACCTCTAACATAAACTGATCAACCACATGCAGCTCTGAAGGAGACCCCTTGAATGACTGGTACCTTTCTGCGTCTTTTGGTGTTGGCATGTATCTGTAAATCAGCAAATGAAAATTAGATGTCCTCTTCCTCTTCATTCTATACTGTTGTAACATAAAACAATCATTTCATTCCATGCATCGGAATTTCTTACTGTGTAGTGTGTTTTATGTATTGCATATTTATTCTTTAACCATTGGAACTTTATAGACATTTGAGCCAACTATGTGATGGAAAGCAAAAATGATCTGCAGATATATCTGCATATCTGGAAATGCTTATATATACATAAGGCTTGAAAATAACAGTCAGTAGTGTTCACCTGCAGACTACGGACAATTTACAATGGCATGGGCTATTTTGGAAAAGGTAAAACCCTGTGACAGAGGAGTTAAGTCCACAATTTCTGAAGAGGTTCATTAATTCTGTGCTTGATACATGCGTGCCTTGTTTTCATTGATTGGATGAACACACCTAACAACCTTTCCAAAACACCTAGAAACAATACACACTTTTTGAGCAGTTACGGCCATGCTGGCTCAACTTGTCTCCAGCAATAACTTCTTTGAAAATAGCACAAAAGCAGAGCGGACTCATGCTACGGCGTGATTAACCAGTGGGCCCCACAGTCTGACCGACTCCTACCTCTAAAACTTTTTTAATTGCCCATGAAACAAGAGCTTGCAATGGCATTTCTGTCTCTAAGCGCTGCATCACATCCAAGATCCATTTCTCGTTTTTGTTATGATAGCACGTAACACAGACCCACAACTTTCTTCCTTCTGCGTGAGGTAACAGAATATTCAGTACTCCAGAGCTGCAGATTTTTAGAAAACTGACGTATTTAAACATGCCTCCACTTGGAAAAATAAACACATCACCACAGTTCCCCTCTGTTGGAGATCTTCCTACATGTCTGACTGATATGCTATGAATTCCCATAGCGTATCTTAAGAAAAATGTAATCGATGTTATAGCTAACATATGAGAAGGAGCGTTAAGAATCTTAAATAAGTATTCTGGTCTACTATCTTCTTTTCTTTCTCTGCAGACAACCTACTAAATTTGTAGCGTGATTAAACATTCATGACTATAGATACACATTTTCATTAAAAGTAAGGACATTTATTCAAAGATAGAAAAAATAAAGCAAAGATTTTAGCATGTTAAATACAGGACAAACAATAAGATTATTTTTTTTACTGTTGTCAATAATTTAATATGACATTTCAATTGAATAATTGCTGGGTTTTGAATTATTAAATCTATATTAAAGCAGATTACAAAATATTCCATTCATCACCCTTCATCATCAAGGAAAAAAATGAATTCTCATTTTAAAATAACAGTTATCTGTTGGCAAATGAAAGGTTTTTTATTTATCATTAAAAATAGTTTGACTTTTTAAGCAAATTCGAAGAACATTTTTTTTAAAGCTGACAGCAAATATCTTCATTTAATCAGAAGTCTGATATCCCATCAATTTTTTTTAATGTATTATGTATATGAAATGAAACTAGCAGATTATCTGGAAGGTTTAAAGCTTAAAGCATTAAACAATGGAAGCCATGGAAAAGGAAGCACAAGAATATGTGACTGCATTCCATAAATATCTTTTTACATGAATGCAACGCTAATGGAATTTGTGCAATGAAAAATCTCCCACTGTTCTGAAAAATTAAGTTTACAGAGACAAAGAGTGCTTTGCTATTGATTTTAAGACATCAGGATAAAGAACCATTCAGAGAACTATGGAAAGGTTTCCATATCAAAATAAGTCCTGAAGTTTCTAATAATATTCCACCACCTCCACTAACCTTCACTGGATACACAAGCAGAACATTTTGCTCACTGGTCACAGTCTTGAAAATGTAATCTTCGTTTTGGCTTTAAATATTCTTCATTCTACAATAGTAGAATTTAGACTTCCTGCTCAGGCTGAGACAGTACGACAGGTATAATTTGCACAGAGAGGAATTTTCCAGCCCCTGACTATCCTGTTTAAACTCCTGTCATAACCACAGGTTCTCAATTAAGTGGAGGCCACTTTTTTCAACAGTAAAATTTTCCACCGTGGCGCCTAAATCAAGTGGAAAGGTCTTCAAAAGTGCTAAGTGTCCTGCTACTTGTATCGTGCCAAGTCCACTACAGTGCGTTGT